CAGACCCTCTTTCCTATTTTTGGATAATTCTCCACAGCTCAAATCTTAGTGGGAGGTGGGTGCTAGATCCAACTACAGAAGTTGAAAAGCCCACATACTTGCCTTCCCTGAAGCCTGGAAATTAGGGCATGGAGCAGTTTTTAATCCAGGTTTGGGAAGTCAGACATAACTGCCTGGGATTTTGAATCTGGAGTTCATGGTGCAAAGAAGCAGCACCTGTAAAAAATTGATTCTAGTGATGGAAGAGACTGCCACAGCTAGTTTTGGGGGCAGCCATAGCAGTTTGGCCAGAGAGAGCAGTGTCTTCCTTGGCCTGTTCTTGTGGAATGACCCCAGCTGGGGTCCTGGCTATGAAAACTCGCTTTCTTATTTTCGGAGCCTGGTTCTCCCACCTTCCTTGTCATTCTGTAAGCTACCAAACAGCCTTTCAATAAATTCATTTTCTACCTAAATCAAGAGAATCAGTTTCTGCTGTTTGCACTCAAGAACTCTGATAAAGGTATCTCAGTCAGGCAGTGACTAGGATCCTATTTTGGGATAATGATAATGGCTAGAGTGAAAAAAGGACAAAATTGAGGCATACTGACAAGGAAGAATTGACAGATTTGGTAACTAGCAAGATAATGCTATTCCATTTCACTACTCTGTTTGCAGTAGTACGTGCATGACGTTGCCTAAAGGATAACACAGAGTGAAACAAAATGTTTGCAAATATATATCCTAACGGATTCATAATAAAGTGTTTGTACAACATGTGAACATAATGTCTGTAAGTGTGACATTTCTTCAGAACAGAAACTAAACTGGGGAAGTGGTGGTAAACATGAATGGTGTTTTTAAACAAAAATATCTTTCTATAGAGGGAAAGAGTGAAGCTTTCATGAGCCACTATACTTTTTTGACTCTATATATGTTTATGAGAACCGTGTTAATTGTTTTCATTGACATCTTAGCTTTAACAAGCAGCACCTGTTGCCTCAATCTTGACATGGCCGAAACAAAATTCATAGTTTTTCCTCCAAGAGGTCCTTCACCAATGTGTTTTGTCTCAATAATCAGCATTGCAGGTGCCAGTTGCCCAATCAAGGAACCTAAGAGAGAACATGGATTTCTTCCTTCCCTCTTCTGATGATTCAAAAAGTCCTGTATTCCATCCCTTAATCATCTCTCAAATAATTCCCCTCCCCTCCATGACTATGACCATTGCCAAAATCTCATCACTTCTTAACTGGAGTTTTGCCAGTTGTTTCCTTGTCCCTTCCAATCCACCCCTACTAGAAATCCTTAGGTGCCCTTCCCTTTGGTTTTTAAAGTCTAAACCTGTTAGAAAGGCACACAGGGGGCTTCCCTGGTGGCACAGTGGTTAAGAATCTCCCTGCCAATGCAGGGGACACGGGTTTGAGCCCTGGTCCGGTAAGATCACATGCCATGGAGCAACTAAGCCCGTGCACCACAACTACTAAGCCTGTGCTCTAGAGCCTGTGAGCCACAACTACTGAGCCCGTGTGCTGCAACTACTGAAGCCTGCGCACCTAGAGACCGTGCTCCTCAACAAGAGAAGCCACCGCAATGAGAAGCCCGCACACCACAACGAAGACCCAACGCAGCCAAAAATTAATAAATAAATTTATTTAAAAAAAGGCACACAGGGTCTGCCATGATCTGCCATGATCACATCTTCCCAAGTACATCTCCTTTCCCACATAAACCTTTCATGCTGAGACTTTTTCCATGCTCCAACTTTACACAATTCCTTGGCTCTCTGATTTTGCATATGCTGTTTCCTCTGCCTGGAACCTGCTTCTCACTTTCTGTCTAAATTCCATCTGTCCTCTATGACTCAGCTGATTGTTACCCTTCTTCTTTTTTTTTTTTTTTGCGGTACTTGGACCTCTCACTGTTGTGGCCTCTCCCGTTGCGGAGCACAGGCTCCGGACGCGCAGGCTCAGCGGCCATGGCTCACGGGCCTAGCCGCTCTGAGGCATGTGGGATCTTCCCGGACTGGGACACGAACCCGTGTCCCCTGCATCGGCAGGCGGACTCTCAACCACTGCGCCACCAGGGAAGCCCTACCCTTCTTAAAAGTGTCTCCTGACCATCATTCTTAGCAAGGTAGCCGTGGCTACACATCTATAATCCTTGGTTCAAATGTTACGACCCTTATCACTTGTTGCATAATGGTTTATTTCTCCATCCTTCTCCACCAGTAGACAGTGAGGACTGTGGGGACCATATAGCTCATTGAGTTTTGTATTCTTATTTCTCAGTGACCTTTATAAAGCATCTAGGCTTTCTCCAAAATAAGTCCTCTCTCTCTCTCTCTCTCTCTCTCTCTCTATATATATATATATATATATATATATATATATATATATATATATAGTTTCAGCAATGAAAAGAGCACATATTCCTTATGAAACCTGAAGGATATCCATAACAACACTTGGGCTAATTTTATGATCATAAACAATTATTTTTATAAAGGTAAGAGAAGGTGTAAGGTATTTCCATTAACCAGCACTTAGTCTATAGTGAAGCTGGATGTGTAAGACACAATATACAATTGTTCCCCAAATGTTCAATGGTCAGAATGATAGTTCTTTTGAAGGAGCGGAATAGTTATTGAGTAACATTCTTGGCCCCAAGAGGAAAGGAAGTTCAGAAAGCTGCTTTACCTTTCTTTCAACTTCAAAATGGATTTTCAAAGACAGAGTCCTTTAGAGACTCTTGTTTAATGCAAGTATCTCTTACATTATGGGAAATACAGAAGAGAAAGCAAGAAGAAAACGTATAGATCAAATAGAGGGAATAGGAGATTGTGAGATAAACAGACCGAGAAAAATGTTTAAAATTTTAAAGCCCAATGAAGAGAGAAGGGAAGAGGGGAAGCAAGACAAATAGTCAAAAGTGCAGAGAAAGCTCCAGCTTCATGTTTACTGAGATTCGACCTTAACAGAAAACTGGTGTTTCCTTGAGCTTTTGGCTTCTTTCCCAGTGCTCTGCTCAAAAAATTCCCTCATCTTCATCACCCAACTCCCCGAGGTCAGGCAACATCCACAAGTAATCAGGAATTTGACTGGAAGTCTGAGGGGCAGTCTGTACTTGCTGCACTTTTGCAGTTCAGTACAGGGAAGAGATAGAAATGACCCAACACAGAACACAACATTCTGTTTTGTGATCTAGCATTATAGATATTTTCCTAGTTTACTTAATATATTTCCAACCTTGAATTAACTTAGATACCAGTCTTAAGAGAAAAAGTTTTACACAGGTGCTATTATTTTTCTGTTTCCTATAATGAATTCAGTTTTCCTACTAAAAAGAACTTGGGAGATGCACAAAATTGAAAAGAATTCCAAGAATATGATGAAAATGCAAATACATTCTTAAACACTTATTTTGTATGAAGTGGATAGAGGAATACAGTATAGCACTAAAAACAGATCTTAACCAAGATCCAGAAAAAAAGGTCATACTGATTCTAATAAGAATGCAGAGCATGTGGACAATATTAACTGTCTATGGAAAACAGAACAAAAACGTTTTCTATGAGGCTGTGTGTTCTTGTTCATATCCTTGTCACTGTTGAATCTCCAGGTCTAGCCCAGGGCCAGGAAAAGAGCAGGTATTCAAGAAACATAACTTGAATAAATCAGACTAGAAAGTAATTTGGAGGTAGTATACCAACAGTTTTAAGATGACTCTTTAAGTTTTAGGATAACCAATATAAAATATAATCTCCACACAGCAAAGCGATTTACGAAAAGAACAAGTCAGATAAACTCATACCCCGTTAAAAAAATACTCTCCAATGTGATTCAGGAAAAAATCCAAATTGCATTTTGGGACCTCCAGGCCTTCCATTCCTGCCAACTTCTCTGACTTCAGGTCCTACCATTCTCCTCTCTGTTCTCTATACTTGAGCCAAAGTGGTGATTTTGCTTTGTTTTGTTTCCCTCGCCACTCCTGAGTGTGTTAAGCCAAGTCCTACTTTAGGGCTTTTACTTCTGCCCTTTTCTTTAGCTGGTATGTTCTTCCTTAGATATTTTCATAGCTGGATCCTCATAATTCAAATCTCAAATATCACATGCGTCAGAGGGCTTGGCCGTACTATCTAAAATAGCTTCCCTTCACTTTATCCAGTACCCCACCTTATTTTATCAGCATTGTTTACTATATGAAATTTTACTATTTATTTTCTTGCTTACTTGATCTAAGCTTCACTTGGGCTCCATGTTATCTTGATATGCAAAGTAAATGGTCTCTTATTGATTGAATGAATAAGAGAAATATAAAATGTTATGAAACTATGTATAAGTGAAAAGGGTTATGTGAGGTCTGATAGGTTCAAGACATATAGAATCCAGGAAAGAAAAGAACAGAGGGTTAGGTTAAATCTCTGTTCTTGGCCCTAAGAGAAAGAACTCTGACTATTATGTTTCTTGATTGGCTCAGTGTTGGTCAAAGGGATACACTAAATAAATGACAAATATTTTCACTTAGCTTCCTAGTTGGTAATTCAACTTTTAGGTAGAATGAATTTGATGTGAATTTAAAGAATGTTGAGCATGACATTCCAGACCTTAATAACCTAGGATATAAAATGGTGGAAAGAGATGGAAATAGTTATTTTAATAGGTGGCAACAGATTTTTCATGAGAACGTTTCTATTCAGGAAAACACCTTGATGATTCTGTTTGGTTGTAAAAAAAAAGTAAGGTCCTAGGAGCTTTACTATTTTAAAGGGAGACCATTAAAAAAAAAAAAAGAAAAGCTAAACTGCTCTGCACACGGAATGAAGATAAATGTAAGGAAGAGAAAAGAAGAGGCAGAGGGAGATTAAGCCTATGAAAGCACACTGATGTCAAGGTCGCCAAAGTAACTGTAAAAATAAAAACATTGAATATTATATTTAAAATTTCTGCACACACAGGCAGACACACAATCTTACATTGCCCAAACCATCAATAAATTCTGTTAACATATTCTGTTAACATTACCTGGTAATGCCTTATGTGAGAAATTCCTAAGAAGACCAAGGAGTAAGGGTTGAGTTCCATATCTGGGCTGACCTGGAAAGAACAGCCATGGAAAGTGAAATGTGAGTGACAGCAACAGTTTGGTGGGCAAGAACTTAGAGATAAGGTTGACCTAAAGAACTAATGTTCCAGGAACACAGAGGAGTTTTGGTTAGGGCTCAGTCTCTGGAACAAGACTAAAAATTGTTTGAACATTTACTAACTTACAAGGCTGAGATATAGCAATCAACAAGATAATGACTCCAGTTTCATCTGTCACATGACTTCACTTCTATGGAAAACACTGACAATTGTCACATTTCTATCTCCATAGCAGGAATGGGTTCCATCCAGTTACAGATAAGTTTCCAAATATCAAAAAGTCTTAAAAATAAGTAGAGGGCAACATATTATATTGTCTGTCCTCTTCTATTTCTAATTTATAGAGGACTAGGGTTATTACATTCACATCTGTTAACGATATTGGGTAGCATCCTAAACTAAAAATTAAACATTGTCTATGAAATATACAGGGGCTAAGTATATATCAAAGAGGGGCAAAAAGGAGGTGTAAATCCTCCGTGAAGCTGAATTGCATGTGTGAGTATGTGTGCTGTATGAGAAAAAGCCAAGAATAGAAACTGGCTATCTACATGCTATAATCAGGTAGAAGATTCTTCAAAGGAATGTCAAATTGAACCAAATAATCCACGATCAAAGACAAGTCAGAAAGTGAAACAGCAGGGTTAACTCAGTTGACTCAGGTATTATAAGAAGAATGCTTGAAATTGACTTGAGGTACTACTGCTGATTTCACGTCAGGGTCAGAAGGATGCTTATTAAAGTTGCACCTCTGAATTTGACTTTACTCTCATTATTACCTGTGCTTATAACATTGCTTGTCTAGAAAATATCTTGTTAACTATTAGTTTACCATCTCTTGTTTGATTATCTGGAACTTTTATAATATCACAGTGACTGAGATGGCCTTAACATTCCCCTCAGCTTGCCTAAACTTAAGAAGGGTTTCTTCCTGATTGTGGGCCCCTGACCTCTCTTTTCTTAGAGCTATCACTTTAGAAACTTGCAACTGTAATTTCTTTTCTGCCTCTTCAAGGTATGTCTTCTACAACCCAGGAATGTCTTTCTCAAGGACCTGGGAGCCATCTCTTTGAAATGTAAACATCAAGAAAGATACCACCCCTATCTCCCAGTCTTTGTGGGAGGGTAGGAGCCTAACTTTGGTAAGTGCCAATTAGCAAACACAGATGGCCTAACCATTCTGACCAAATTTCTCCATTCCGCTCACTCCCACAGTCCTCCAGTATTTTCCATTCGCGTACCCCAGCATTTAAAAATCCTCCTGCTTTTCGTTTGGGGAGTTGAGTTCACTCTCTCTTCCCTACTGCAATAGCCTTGAACAAGTCTTCCTTGCCTGTTTAACTGTTAGCTCTGACTGGTGCAATATTTCTTTGGCAGTGGACTGATCTGTTTTCTCATCCTCCTTAATTATTTATTCTCTTGATATCAGGCAATACTTTCCAGTTACTTTTAGGCCAGTAAAAGTCTTCTTTTAAATATGAGATTTAGAATAAAAGTAATTGAAATGGGTATTCATGACAGAGGTAGTACATGATAGATACACTGAAGAACAAACATAATCAGAGAGTAGAAAATGAAAATTTAGGTAATTGGATGTTAATTAAATATAGTTATTTGCCATCTGCCTTTACAAGGATTAAGTCACCAGCCACTGCAGTTGATGACCTTCAACACACCCTGAAGGAAGTTCAAGGTGGAGATCAGGAATGAGGCACTCTGTGCTCTGGGAAAAATTGCCAAAACGGGTCTCAAGATAGATATTTTCAGGAGAAGATTTTATCAGCTGAATTTCTTGCAGCTTCTCATATTTAGAAAAGCACTAAAATTGTTAACAAAGACATCTGCTCCTTGTAACTAGCAGCAACCTTCTGCCAAGATGTGTGCTTGATTGCATGTGTCCCCCTTCACTAAAATCACATATATACAACCCCCTTACCTCTTTGTTCCTCTGAGCAGTTCCTCAGAGCTATCTCAGACGCTATCTCTTGGGCTATAGTCCTCTTTCTGCCCCCAATAAAACTTAACTCACAACTCTCACGTTGTGCATTTTTTCTTCAGTCAACAATATGAAAGAGACCCACCACCAGTCCATCCCATCAGGAACCTTGCACAAGCCTCTTAGATAGCCTCATCCACCAGAGGGTAGACAGCAGAAGCAAGGAGAACTACAATTCTGCAACTTGTGGAAGGAAAACCACATTCACAGAAAGATAGACAAGATGAAAAGGCAGTGGGCTATGTACCAGATGAAGGAACAAGATAAAACCCCAGAAAAACAAATAAATGAAGTGGAGATAGGCAACCTGCCAGAAAAATAATTCAGAATAATGATAGTGAAGGCGATCCAGGACCTCGGAAAAAGAATGAAGGCAAAGATCGAGAAGATGCAAAAAATGTTTAACGAAGACCTAGAAGAATTAAAGAACAAACAAACAGAGATGAACAATACAATAACTGAAATGAAAACTACACTAGAAGGAATCAATAGCAGAATAACTGAGGCAGAAGAACGGATAAGTGACCTGGAAGACAGAATGGTGGAATTCACTGCTGCGGAACAGAATAAACAAAAAAGATGAAAAAAATGAAGACAGCCTAAGAGACATCTGGGACAACATTAACACAACAACATTCGCATTAGAGGGGTCCCTGAAAGAAAGAGAAAGAGAAAGGACCTGAGAAAATATTTGAAGAGATTATAGTCGAAAACTTCCCTAACAAGGGAAAGGAAATAGCCACCCAAGTCCAGGAAGCGTAGAGGGTCCCATATAGGATAAACCCGAGAGGAAACATGCTGAGACAAATAGTAAACAAATTGGCAAAAATTAAAGACAAAGAAAAATTATTGAAAGCAGCAAGGGAAAAATGACAAATAATATACAAAGGAACTCCCACAAGTTTAACAGCTGACTTCTCAGCAGAAACTCTACAAGCCAGAAGGGAGTGGCATGATATACGTAAAGTGATGAAAGGGAAGAACCTACAACCAAGATTACTCTACCCAGCAAGGATCTCATTCAGAATCGATGGAGAAATCAAAAGCTTTACAGACAAGCAAAAGGTAAGAGAATTCAGCACCAGGTAAGAGAATTCAGCACCGCCAAACCAGCTATACAGCAAATGCTAAAGGAACTTCTCTAAGTGGGAAACACAAGAGAAGAAAAGGACCTACAAAAACAAACCCCCCAAAATTTAAAAAACGGTCATAGGCACATAAATATGGATAATTACCTTAAATGTGAATGGATTAAATCCTCCAACCAAAAGACACAGGCTTGCTGAATGTATACAAAAACAAGACCCATCTATATCCTGTCTACAAGAGACCCACTTCAGACCTAGGGACACATACAGACTGAAAGTGAGGGGATGGAAAAAGATATTCCATGCAAATGGAAATTAAAAGAAAGCTGGAGTAGCAATACTCATATCAGATAAAATGGACTTTAAAATAAAGTATGTTACAAGAGACAACGAAGGACACTACATAATGATCAAGGGATCAATCCAAGAAGAACATAAAACAATTATAAATATATATGCACCCAACATAGGAGCACCACAATACATAAGGCAACTGCTAACAGCTATAAAAGAGGAGATCAACAGTAACACAATAATAGTGGGGGACTTTAACATCTCACTTACACCAATGGACAGATAATCCAAAGTGAAAATAAACAAGGAAACAGAAGCTTTATATGACACAATAGACCAGATACATCTAATTGATATTTATAGGACATTCCATCCAAAAACAGCAGATTACACTTTCTTCTCAAGTGCACATGGAACATTCTCCAGGATAGATCACAACTTGGGTCACAAACAACGCCTCAGTAAATTTAAGAAAACTGAAATCACATCAAGCATCTTTTCACACCACAATGCTATGAGATTAGAAATCAATTACAGGGAAAAAAACGTAACAAGCACAAACACATGGAGGTTAAACACTAAGTTACTAAATAACAGATCACTGAAGAAATCAAAGAGGAAATCAAAAAATACCTAGAAACAAATGACAATGAAAACACGATGAACCAAAACTTATGGGATGCAGCAAAAGCAGTTCTAAGAGGGAAGTTTGTAGCTATACAAGCCTAACTCAGGAAACAAGAAAAATCTCAAATAAACAATCTAACCTTACACCTAAACGAACTAGAGAAACAAGAACAAACAAAACCCAAAGCTTGCAGAACGAAAGAAATCGTAAAGATCAGAGCAGAAATAAATGAAATAGAAACAAAGAAAACAATAGCAAGGATCAATAAAACTAAAAGCTGGTTCTTTGAGGAGATAAACAAAATTGATAAACCATTAGCCAGACTCATCAAAAAAAAGAGGGAGAGGACTCAAATCAATAAAATTAGAAATTAAAAAGGAGAAATTACAACAGACACCGAAGAAATACAAAGCATCCTAAGAGACTACTACAAGCAACTCTATGTCAATAAAATGGACAACCTGGAAGAAATGGATAAATTCTTAGAAAGGTATAACCTTCCTAGGCTGAACCAGGAAGAAACAGAAAATAAGAACAGACCAATTACAAGGAATGAAATTGAAACTGTGATTTAAAATCTTCCAACAAACAAAAGAACAGGAACAGATGGCTTCACAGGTGAATTTTATCAAACATTTAGAGAAGAGCTAACACCCATCATTCTCAAACTCTTCCAAAAAAATGCAGAGGAAGGAACTCTCCCTAACTCACTTTATGAGGCCACCATCACCCTGATACCAAAACCAGACAAAGATACTACAAAAAAAGAAAATTACAGACCAATATCAGTGATGAATATAGATGCAAAAATCCTCAACAAAATACTAGCACACAGAATCCAATAACACATTAAAAGAATCATACCCCATGATCAAGTGGAATTTAACCCAGGGATTCAAGGATTCTTCAATATATGCAAATCAATCAATGTGATACACCATATTAA